GACGAATGTAGTTTTTCTCGGGACAAGATTATTAATTTTCATAATTACCACATATGGGCTGATGAAAACCCTCACGCTATTGTCGAAACTAACCATCAAGAACAGTTTTCTCTTAACGTGTGGGTCGGAGTTATTGGGGATTATTTAATTGGGCCTCATTTTCTACCTCCTCGATTAAATGGTGAGGCATACGTTCAATTTTTAAGAGAAGTGCATCCCGTACTGCTGGAGGAAGTTCCTTTGGGCGTCAGAAGGGATATGGTTTTTATGCATGATGGGGCTCCCGCCCATTTTAGTCAAGTAGCACGTCAGCATTTAACTGAAACATATGCAAATCAGTGGATAGGTCGAGGAGGACCACAGAATTGGCCCGCTCGATCCCCGGATCTCAATCCTCTGGATTTGTCTACTTGGGGCCATTTGCAGCATTTGGTTTATCGTACTCCTGTTCGCGATGTAGAGGACTTAAGAAACCGCATTATCGATGCGTGCAGGGTAATTAGAGAGACTCCAGGAATATTTGAGCGAATACGTGGCTCAATGCGCCGACGTCTAGACGCATGCGTAATGTCTGAAGGTAGACATATTGAACATTTACTATGATTTCTACATGTTGTATGTTTTGTTATTATTAAATTAGTTTTGATTATTCCCCTTTAATCATTTAATGCAGGTAGTAACTACAAAATAACAGTAAATCCAGTCCGCATTTATGACGATGTATCTCTGTAGTTGTTCGTAAAATAATTTTTTACTGCGAACTGGTTTAATTTGGGCAAAAAATTCAAGAGACATTTTTTTTTAGAATGAAACAGGCTATCGGAAATAATTTTTTAAATGGTAAAAAAATAATAAGACAAAAAATTACGTTGGAAATAAATTTTAGGGGTTGCGTTTTCCACCCCTTACTACCATGGGGTAAACCAAATAAATTACTGGCTAAGTGTCTTTTTGGTAGTAGAAAATGTCAGGTTAATTTCAATATTGTAACTTGTTTAGTGCTTGTGAAAAAAATTGTTAAACAAATTTTATGTACCCCCTTTAAGGGGCTGTATCTTAACAAGGGATGCTCCAATGAAGTTTCTTTATATGAAAGATCCTATCTTTTTTTCGATGAGGAATCACCCCCTTAAATGTTTTACACTTATTTAGTTATACTCTGTATAGGTAGTCATCTATCCTGAACAAGTCCATTACTTTGTATTTATGCATAACAAAATTAAAACTTTCTGAGAAGTTACTAGAAATTCAAGAGGTAGCCAAAACTTACCTCTTGGAGGCCAGGTTGTCGACGGGTTGCCCAAATATTTCATCACTATCCTAATTTGTAATGTTAAAATGAGCGGTAGTACAAAGCATGTTTTTTTTTTAAATAAGAAATTGGATTCGTCTGTCACCGGGACCGTTTATAAGACTGTCAACATACGTGATTCAGAACCGGCACGTGTGATTTAAAATAATGCGACTTGTTTCCAATAATCACTGATTCTTCGCGTTGGAAAAAGACTACTAATAGGGAATCAAATAGCTACTTAATATTATCATTTACTATATTTATTCTACATGATGTAACAACATTAAATAGAGGTCATATTTCTACAGAGACTACCTTTATCCTTGAGAAACACATGTCATAGGTTTATTTTCACAAATTCCGTTGTGAAAACTGATTTTTCTTTTTAATTTTCTATCATAATTATCATATACCTCCGTTGTACAGGCTGAGGCTAGTGTAACATCAAATAATCGTACGCGCTAACCGCCAGCACATGCCCAATTAGAAGCTACGGCATGCATTGTTGTCAGATCTCATCTTTTTTTAATCGTTTACGTGTGTTTTTCATAATAGTAGAGAAATTTAACAAAAAAACCACAAACGTCTCCACCAAATACTGAAACGAATAACTTTATAAGATTTTACACATAACACTACATAGAGACACTTCACTAAATAACATTTAAATTTTATTATACGATTAAATTTAATATGTACTCTGAAAACTAAAATAAATGTAAAAAGTAATACTTAGAATAGAATATAATTTATTATTTGACCACATTACATAAATAATATGTTTATGGCAAGTCAAAGTACACATTTTACGATTAAAAAACATACACAGTTGTAAGTAAAACACAAAATGTAAAAAAAAAGATACAAGATACAAGTTAAAATTTGATAAACATACTGGTAAACATACATAGCTGGTAAAGCCTTACTTCCTGTGAATTCGAGTAAAGTAAATATATAGGCAAGGAAAAGGTAAAATGCCAAAAGCCATAAAATATTGTTGACAGTGATGTCTGCTGTTTAAATTAGCTATAATTCTAATTGCCCTTTTTTGTAAATAATATTTTTCTAGAATGCCTATACAGGGTGTCCGGTAAGTACCTCCTAATCTCTCGGGAGAGTATAGGGGAGGTCAAAATAAAACTAGTCCTTCCTATAATTTTTTTTCCTAATGTGCCCCCTAACGGAGTTATGGGGGGTCAAAGGGGTACCTAGAAATTAACGTTTAGGGTTATAACTTTGAAACCACCCTGTATATTTTAATAAAATTTTCGTACGTTGTATTACACATGGAGCTCTACGATTTGATGCTAAAATCAACTTTTTGCTATTATCAGGTGTCCAGAAACGGACTGGCCCTATCACAATTTTTCTCAAAATTTTGACAGAAGTAATTTTATCAAACTGAAAATATTATTATTAGATACTCTGAAGGTTTTTCTTTAAAAATGGTACTCTTTATTTATTTCGAAAAAATGAACGGTTTGCGAGATAAATCGGTTTTGAAAAAAATTGGTAACAAATACAACAACAATTAAAATTTATTTTTTTTACATATTATTTCATGCATTTAATTTCTTTAACTTTATCAAGTCCAGAAATCTTTGAACGGGTTGGCTATACTTTATGAGCAAGTAGTGACCAATTAAAAATAACATTTGAAAAATAACTTACTTACAAGACATGCAACAAAGAACATTCAACAATGAACAAAGGTACCTAAATGTTACTTCGGTAGATGTTCAAAATGAGCACCCCGTACTTCAATGCACTTTCTAATCCTACGAATGTTTTCCCGGTGCACTTGAAATAATATTCCGTGATTATTGCGGAGATGGTCACAGTTCTGTGTTAGCCTCAGCAGAAGTTCCTCTCTACTATTTACGGGTGTTGAATAAACGTTATTTTTTAAATGACCCCACAGAAAAAAGTCTAATGGGTTTAGGTCGGGCGACCTAGGTGGCCATAATACAGGTCCGCCTCGACCTATCCATCGATCACCAAAAACATTCGTCAGATGTTGACGTACTAAACGATCAAAGTGGGGTGGTGCACCGTCATGCATGTACCACATTTCAGTTCTTATTTGAAGGGGCACTTCTTCTAACAAAATATTTAGATTTTCCTCTAAAAATTGCAAATAAAGAGCACCATTAAGTCTTTGCTCCAGAATAAATGGACCAATCAAATGATTCCCGATAATGCCAGCCCACACATTCACCATAAACCTTTGTTGGTAGCGAGTTTGAACTAAAGCGTGAGGGTTTTCTTCATCCCAGACATGTAGATTATGCGAATTAATTATGCCGTCTCTTGTAAAACCTGCTTCATCGGTGAACAAAATAGATGTACCAAAATTATGATTCCGAATATGATGCTGTAAAAACCAATTGGCGTATTGAAGTCTTTTTGGATAATCATCTGGAGACATAGCATGTACTTTTTGGATGTGGTACGGGTAAAGCAATTGTTCTTTCAGAGTTTCATGTACAGCCCATTTTGTAACATTGTTTTGCGCCGCAAGCTTCCTTATGCTATTTGAAGGATTATTAGCAACGTCTTCCAATATTTGTTCCTCTACATGAGGGTCTCGTACTCTCCTCGGGGCTCCTGCTCCACCACGGCGTGGCAAAAAGCTTCCTAAATAAAGGATTCGGAAGAAATTAGTTTCACTAACGTTTTTCACTATTTTTTTTTACCTGTTTCTCTTAAACTACGATCAACTCTTTCAAAAGTTTTTGGACTCGGCAAATGTCGACCCGGAAACCTTTCCTCATAAAGTCTTCTTGCCTCCACGGAGTTGCATAATGCTTCCCCATAAATTAGGTGCATATCAGCATATTCTGCACAGGAATATTCTTCCATTTTTAAATGTTATTTCTAACGGCTTAAAACGAATACCACAATAAAATTGAATTTTTATTCTGTCACGCGCCTTTGACAAGTACTTTAAAATCAACAGGGTCTAACAACGAAAACAATAGAAAAGAACTCCATGGAGACAAGAGCAATAATAATTTGTAGATGTATTTTGGTCATAGATGTTGATTTTACAAGAAACGGCATTATTCATTCCCTTAATTCACCACCAGTAAATGTTTATGGTGAATCTGTAGGCTGGCACTAGCGGGAATGATTTTATTGTAAAAAAATAAATTTTAATTGTTGTTGTATTTGTTACCAATTTTTTTCAAAACCGATTTATCTCGCAAACCGTTCATTTTTTCGAAATAAATAAAGAGTACCATTTTTAAAGAAAAACCTTCAGAGTATCTAATAATAATATTTTCAGTTTGATAAAATTACTTCTGTCAAAATTTTGAGAAAAATTGTGATAGGGCCAGTCCGTTTCTGGACACCTGATAATAGCAAAAAGTTGATTTTAGCATCAAATCGTAGAGCTCCATGTGTAATACAACGTACGAAAATTTTATTAAAATATACAGGGTGGTTTCAAAGTTATAACCCTAAACGTTAATTTCTAGGTACCCCTTTGACCCCCCATAACTCCGTTAGGGGGCACATTAGGAAAAAAAATTATAGGAAGGACTAGTTTTATTTTGACCTCCCCTATACACTTCCGAGAGATTAGGAGGTACTTACCGAACACCCTGTATATTTCTTATTTATTGTATATATCGTTTGCAGGCTAAAGAAAAAGAAATCCTCCCCAATTCCAAAGGCGCCATCCCATTCCCCAAAGTATGACATGATTTCATCAATCGTGTCTCTCACGACGATATCCTCATTCAACTCGACCGCCACGCTAGACCTGAACGCAACCACATCGAACTACCTGTACACTCCCCCGTCGACGATCGACATCTTCAACGCCAGCAATGCCACCAACCTGACCGACGGCCCGTACCCGGTGTTCCCCAGCTACATCCGGACCACCTCCATGGTCTTCTGTATCGTCATCATGTGTCTGGGAGTGATCGGAAACGTGATGGTGCCCATAGTGATCTTCAAAACGAAGGATATGCGGAATAGCACGAATATTTTCCTAGTGAACTTAAGTGTGGCGGATCTGATGGTGCTGTTGGTGTGCACGCCCACGGTGTTGGTGGAGGTCAATTCGAGGCCGGAAACTTGGGTGTTAGGGAGAGAGATGTGTAAGTAACTTGTTCAGTAACTTACATAATTCCTTGATGAATTTTACAAATAAATACGGATATACTTAAACACATTTTTTTCACAGTTTTTATTATTTTAAACTATAATAAGGATACTAGCTACCTGTACTATCTTTACTGGTTTTTAGATGAACGAGTTTCATATTACTAGCACTTTTTGATGAATCATAAGGGAAGCGTAGTCTTTTACGAATATAATTTTAGCAGCATTTCAATGTAACTATTTAAATGTCAATTTTGATAGAAAATCTTCTGAGGCAAACAAAACATTTCGTTTTGTGGAATGAAAAAGTTTATTCGTTTATTATATTCGCCGAACTCAATTTTCTAGCGTCCCCTGATTACACCAGGAAAATTAGCGAAAATAAAAGAGAAACTCGAAAACAGTCCTAGCCGCTAGATTATTGTAAAATTATCTAAAGGAACATAATACAAGACATCTCTCATCTCGCGAGTCAAAAAATTTTATTAGCTAACTTTTTTATTTAAACAAATAAGTGAGGAAAACAGTTTTTTTACTTTGCAGGGAAAACCATCAATTTTAGCGAAAAGTGACTCTGAGACAGCTTGTAGGGAGTAAAATTATCTACAAAATGAGACTTGTTAAATTAAAATCGGTTAATAAACAAAAAAGTTATTGCAAAAAAACAAGAAAAGTGCCCATTTTTTCATTTGTTTATAACTATCGCATTTATTGTTAAAATTTTATAAAACCTATGACAAGTTGAGGGTTTTGTCATACTTTAAAAGTGTGTCAACAGTGGGTGCTGTAGGTGCAATAGTTTTCACACAATTTGTTTATAACGGAGGCTCCCAAAGTTATGAACTTTAAACCTCTGTACATACAGGCGTTAATTTTTAACCAAACATGATTCTGAAAGCGTCGTTGTAATCTCAAAGACGTAATTAAGCGACCTATTAAAATATATCACCGTTGTTTGGACACTAACTAAAATTGTTAATTTGTTTATATGTATTATTATTAATTAGATATTTCAAAATATTAACCTTATAAAGATGGACATGAACAATATCATAAGTGTGTTGTGATGGCTCAGAGCGTA